TATTTATCAATTAAAATACGTTTCGGTGTATTTTTCCACCATCATCAGTTTTTATGTGTAGCGTTGTTGCTGCTTTAAGCCTTGGCATACATTTTCTCTTACATAACTCTTAAAGATATTAAAATTTAAATGAATTAATTATTTTTATTTAAAAAAAATAGATTACAAATCAAAAGCACTCGTATTACTATACAGGGTGTCCCAGTTTTTGTGATCAGGACTCAAAAACTAATCGTAGTCTAATGCATGTATGAAGGTAAAACAGATGTGAGCGTGAAGCGTGGAATCGAGTTGCTATGGATAAATTGTTCGATTTTTGAGGACTTAGAGTCTGTTGGAAATTATTGCAGGGAGTATGTAACTTAAAATAAAAATAAGAAATGTTCGAAGAGGAACTTAGAGAGTTTTTTTATTTATTACACTTTTCCTTAAATTTAAACCCCATATATTAAACATTATTGGGTTTCAAGGCAGTTGGGCTTTTGGCTATTCAACGGTGGTAAAAGCATATTTTAATTCCGACTAGTTTCTTTCCACGAAATTTCTTAAAATTCGTTTTATAGATTTTCTTACTTGAAATCGCGCTTTTTGAGTTTTGTTTTGAAATCTTTTCAAAATCAACTTGCTGCAGAAGTAAACCTTGATTGCGTGATAGAATGGACCTTTCGCTATTTGGAAATATCAAAAGCGCTCTTTTATATCTTCTGGAATTCTCGTAATGTTTTTTTTTTAATGTCATTTTGGACCAAAGTCTGAGCTTCCGAAAAGGTTCCGAAGCCAAGTCTGAGTTTGAAAATTTCTCCAAATTAGGTGAAACCTGCCACGAAACTCCAACTTTTCAGAGTCATAGGGCAGATTTTTCTCTGTTCAATGGTAGTAAAAGTATATTCCAAACGCTGCCGGTTTTTTCCTAATAATTTTTTTGAAAGGCGCGCTGTGGATTTTTTTGCCTGAAGCTTCCCTTTGCGAGTCTTGGTTTGAAAATTTGGGAAAAGCCAGCTAAACATCCTTTTTAAGTAAAACTTTACCGTATTATATAATGAAGCTTTTTCTATTTGTAAAGGTTAAAAGCGTTCTTGCACCTTTACGGTATTCCTCGTAAATAATTTTTTGAAAACAGGTTTTAGAGATTTTCTTGCCTTGCAACAGCCTTAGGCAAATCGTGATTTGAAGATTTCTCCAAATCATGCTAACCCTGCCCTCGTTCTTAAACTTTAAGGCGTTATAGAGCCTTCTCTACTCAGTAGTAGGAAAAGTATTTTTCAATTCGCGCTTTGTGAGTTTAGTTTTAAACATTTCTCAAAATCAAGCTAAAAGAACTGTACAAATAAAAGTTGCGAGCAAAAAATTAAAGATTTTGCTCAATTTAGCGGTGGAAACAGTGTCGTACCATCATGATCAGTTTCTTTGTAATTAATATTTTCAAGTGCGTTTTGCATATGATCTTGCCGGGAAATGGCTCCAGTCAACTATGATTTTGAAAATTTCTCTATATCATGCCAAACCTGCTATCGAACTCAAACTTTGAGGCGTAGTAAGATGGAGTCATCTCTATTCAATGGTGGCAAAAGTATTTTCTAGATCCTGCTGGTTATTTTGTACATTTATTTTAAATACGTTTTTGTGTTTTAAGAGTAAGAATTTTTGCAAATTTGTCAACATCAGGCTAAACATGTTGTACAAATAAAATTTGGTAGCTTCACAGACGAGACTTTGCTCTATTTGAGGGTGAAAAAAACGTCGTACCATCTTCAATGGCTTTTTGAAAAAAAAAATTTAACGAATTTTGCAGAAGTTCTTGTGCCTTGTATAAACTGGAATCAGCAAATTTCTGTATACCGTAGTTTTGCAACAAACAAGCTTCAGCTCTGAAACGGCATTCTAAAATTCAATTTTTTGTCTATTTTACCTTATTACTTATTACTATTACTTATTGCAACGATGCTGGCGACTGAGCATTTATCTACAACTTTTTTTAAATTATTTGCTTACTACTTAGTAGTGACATAAAGCGATGCAATTTTCAATTGCTCTGAAAAGTATTTAAAAGGCAAACTCCCACTTACATTGGGAACATCCAGGGCGTTTCGCATAATCCTCTTCCAGGTACGTTCCATTGATTTATATTTTTTGCTTTCAACCGGTAACTGTTTGGTGATATCGTCGCTGGTAAATATCGGCTCCAAATACATCCACTGCCTAAATAAAAATGCCAGCCATCGGCCATTTATTTCAATCTCCGCCAACGCAAAATGCATATAAACAATACACTTACTTCTGAACGTCCATCCATTCCTCAATGACATCGGCCGTAATTCGCAATTTGTCTTCCCACTGATCGATTCTTTCCTCGAAGGGACCCTTAAACGGACTGAACGATAACTGCTGAGTTAACACGATGTGGTCATCCAGCATCTGCTGTTGTTCTTCGGAAATTTTCATTATGTAAGTGCCTGTTAAAAAAAATCGATAATTTAGGTCTTAACCAGCCAGCATTTGGTTAGCAACCAGTGTTTTTGTAAGGCTGGATATCCAGGCAATTCTCCTCCCAATCAGCAAGCATTTTCTCCAACGTCTGCTCAATTGTGTACTCCTTGGTGGCCATTTCGGCCACGTTTTTGATGTCTTCAGCGTGCGCTTCTATTCCCAAGCTCAACATGTCGCTGAAGGTTGTTATAGGAGTCCACGCCAAATCCACACCTAAAAAAACTGGAAATTGTTGTCCAAATATTCCACTGACCTGTTTTCCTTTTGCCTGTTTCCTCAGAAAGTTTCTCCCAGTGTCGCTGCCTCATTCCAGGATTCCTCAGGGATTGGAGCAGAGGAATCATAGGCTTAAAGTCGTCGATTTGGTTCCTGACGTCCACAGCTACGTTCTGGATCGCGAAAAGATTACACAGGAAAACGGGGGAGTTGAGAAAATCCCTACCTGAACAGCTTCAATGTCTGCAAACACCCGAATCAAGCGCACCATCATTTTGTACATGTCGGTCACTGTTCCTTCCACAGTTTCAGCATCCACGTTCACTATCGGGTTGTCCATCCACATTTCATGCGAGCGCAACCAATCTAGAATCAGCTCAAATGCCACTTTGCTGGAAACAAATTTGGCTTAAGTCCCAACCAGAGGCAGTGATCCAGAGGTTCTTGTAGGGCTCAAACTCCTTAATCAGCTTGGTGAGATTGTCGAATGGAACCACTTGTGCACCGAACATTTTCTGCCGCTGATTCAACAGTTGGCCGAACTCTTGAGCTTCCTTCATTGCTTTCCAGACCTTTCGAATTTCCTGGGCGTATTCATGTGTCTGAAAAGGCGCAGCATACAAACATCACGATTTTAAGAAGACCAAATGACTGAACGTTACCTTGCTCACATCCCTGTATCCAGACATACTAACAACTTGAGTGGTCAGCGTGTCGATGCGATCATTCAACGTGAATTCGTCGTTCAATTGTAGCTTGTAGTAGCGTTCCTCCTCCTCCTTCAGGAACTTGTCGGCTACATCCACTTGCTGGTAGATCCGCAACGGCCAGCCGATGGCCTCCCATTTGTTTTCGAAATCCTCATTGCCCAGAGCGTACCAAAAATGATCCAGAACATCATATTCCTGGAGGGGAAAATGTGGGAAAAATCCTCCAAAACTGAGTAAGCTGGCAACGCACGAGTAGATATCGTTTGCAGGTTTCTTCCAGCGACTTAACCGACATGGGAATGGTTTCCATCCAGTCCCGAATCTCAAAGATATGCTCAATGCTTTCGGGTTTAACCGCAAGTTTCACCATCACGTTCTTGTACTCTTGCAGCAGCTGCAAAGGGAGCAAATTGTAATATTAAAAAATCGTTAAAAGCTCCTAAGTACGTCTTCAATGCTTTGCTTCATGCGAGCCGAGAAAAGATCCAGCAGCTTGTTGATGATCTCCTGCCGTTTGTTGATCAAGAACACCCGCAGATGGTCAATTTGAACGTAAAAGGGCCCAATGAATATCAGGTTGGGGAGCGTTTCTTCCAGGCTCCTCTTAAGGCGATGATGCAGCGATATATCTTCTTTCACTTCAGCGGCGGTTTTTGAGTCAATTTCATAATTCCTTTTAAAAAATGCGGGTTTTCTTCGAGTCCTAACCAAGGGCTCAAACAACTCACTTGATATAGTCAGAGATGATTAAACTATACAGATTAACATGAACATCAAACTCTTTGGCGTACGCCCTCAAGGGTATGCAAGCCTTTTCATAGGCGAGGAGGAATCGATTTCGCACATTGCAGACCTCTTCAGCAAGCAGACCGACAGAAGAGAGGCAAAGGTCGGGGGGGAAACGCAAATTGCTCAAAAGCAACGGGTGAACTTGTCTGATTTGGTGCGTTTGTGTCAGAGCTTCGTCGAAGAGCTTCAGAAGAACCTCCTAGAACAGCCCCTTAACAATCGGCGATAAATTCACCGATCTTCTCTATCTACCGCAAAGGATTCCGGCGTCGTGCTGTAGAAGGCGCCGCTTTCGTCCATCCTCAATTGCAAACTAAAAAGGGGAGCAGCCTGTCCCATAAAAGGACTATTCAGCAGGTCTTCGCCCCAAACAAAGTCATCCTCCACAGAAAGACATGGCCAACAGGGCGTTTCAACCAGGCTAATGAACACTTGCAGAGTGTTCTCCACTAACAACCTCAAGGTGTACTGAAATGGCCAAAAAACAATTAAAATTTGCCCTTTTTCTGGAAAAAACGACTAGAATTACGGATAAAAATTAAAAGGTAAAAAATAATCAACGGTGCGTCATACGTTGGCAAGTTATGAAACAATTTGTTCCTGATCTGTTGACTAAAATTCTAACGTTTCTTGAAGTCATTTATTTGAGTTTAACGATTTTATTTAGAGATTTTTAATTTAAAAAAATGTTTCTTCTTCCACTCAGAGGAAAAAGAGTATTGGCTAAACCTTAACGATTCAAGACAGTGGAATTGTAAATTTAAGAGTCAAACTAAAGGCAAAATAGGAAAAAACCCGAGCAAACAAAAAGAAAAATGAAAACCCTAAAACAACTCGGTTAAAATAAAGCATACCAGAAGAAAAATCGCCACAAATATATCGAAATTAAATGGACAGAAGCCCGAAATTCAGGCCAGTTTTTCAAGCAAAATACCAAACAAATGAGAGAAGGAAATAAAGAACTTAAGTCGAATCACGACAGGCAAGTTTCAATTCAAACTGCTGGAGGAAAATGAAGCGCAAAAAATACAGGAAATTGAATAACCAGAAACTTTTAAATGGAGTTTTTGTTTTAATGGGGTTTCACCAACAAACGAAGCACAAATTCGAATTTAATATTCAAACTGACTCTAACCATGAAGTTCACTTACCTGCATTCGATACTTGACCAACTCCATGAACCGATTAAGCTTCGAGATTTCGTATATTTTAAAGTTCTTTTCGTTGATATCGAACCAACCTTTCCCTAGATCTCCTATGCACATTCGAATGTTAAAAACCAGCGTTTCCAGCCAGTTATTCTTCAACTGTTTCAAAGCCTAAAGCAACATTAAAAATCTTCGTTAGAAACGAAAAAATACATATAAAATACTTGGTAAAGATTTCGTTTTAATCCATTAACGGTTTTTTATCTATCCATTAGTAAATACAAGACTTTGATGAACAAAGTATGGGTTGATTTTCTGGAAAGTTTTCCGGATTTTCCCAGCTGAGAATAAGGAAATATCGATCCTCCTTTAAAAAATCGAATCTTCAAAACTGAAGCAAACAGCAATTTGAAATTTTGATCTCCTTTAGAAGATTTCTGACTCTACAGATGCAGAAAGTTACAGAAAATCATTCGTAATCCTGATTTTTGGTAGCTTAGTCAATGCCAGCCTCAAAATGTTTGTACTCATCTGCGCGCCCTACTTTAAAACATGGTATCTACAAAACCGAACAAGTAACAATTTTAAATTATCTCCATCTTTAGAAGATTTGTGACTGTACAAATGTGGAAAGTTTCATATACATCAACACAAATCCGGATTTTTGTAAGCTTAGTTAATACTAATCTTAAAACGGACAATCCTAATCAAAGGCGTGTGCCACTTTAAAAAATCAGATCTACAAAACTAACACCAGCAGCAATTTCACATTTTTACTGCCTTTCGGAGATACTTGAGTCTACATATACAGAATGTTTAATAAAAATTAACTTTAATCCTGATTGTTGCCATATTAGTGAATATCAGTCTCATAATCAACTGCACTTTCATCTCTAAAAACGGATATCTTCCAAACTGAAACCTCTAGCAGTTTGAAATTTTAAACATCTTTAGAAGATACTCCACTCTCCAGATGCCAAAAGATTCAACAAGATAGGCAGAAATTCTGAATTTTTTCAGATAACTAAAGATAAGTCCCAAAATAAATGTTTTGTGGTCCCTTCCTGTGATCCCTCCTTAACAAAATGGTTCTTTCCAAGAAACGCGAGTAGCAGCTTGAAATTCTTATTATCGTTAGAAGGTACTCTATGGATGATGAAAGTTTCATTAAAATTTCCCGAAAGCCTGATTTTTACCAGCTCAGTAAATACTAGGCTCGAAATTAAAGTTCCTAATAAACTGCGCTTTTCCCTTTAAAAAATCGCATCTTTTTAACTACCGCATTTGTAAACTTTTCACAGTTTTTGGATCATTACCCGTAACTGAACATTTTCACAAAGTTTCACCTAAATTGATAGGAATTCTATTTTTTTCCCAGCTTATTAAATATCAGCCTCATAATGGATGTTTAAAATTAACTGCCCTCTGCCGTTTAAACATAATTCGCATCTCCCCCACTAAAACAGGTATCAACTTAAAAATTTGCTCCTCTTTAGCAGAAGCTTTTCTCTAATGAAGCTGGAAGTTTCATAGGAATAGTCTGGAAGCCTGATTTTTGCTAACTTACTAAATTTCAGCCTCATAATGGAAGTTTTATCTTAAGTGCGCTCTATCGTTTAAAAATTCGCATCTCCCCTCCTAAGGCAAGTATTAACTTGAAAATTTTCTTATGTTTAGAATATACTTCAGTCTAATGAAGTTGGAAGTTTCATAGAAATTGTCAAGAATCCTGATTTTTTCTAACTTTATAAACTTCAGCCTCATAACGTACGTTTTAACTTAGTTGCGGTCTAGCGTTTAAAAATTCGCAACTTCGCAACTAAAGCAAGTATCAACTTGAAAGTTTTCCCATATTTAGCAGGCACTTGACTCTAACGAAGCTGGAAGTTTCATAACAATCATCGAGATTCCTGATTTTCGCCAACTTACCAAATAGTAAACTTCGATCTCATAATTAATGTTTTGCTTTACTCTCTCTTGCAACGGCGCACGGCTAATCAGCCCAGAAAACTTTTCATCTAATATATACAGGGTGTGGAATTAAGTTTGCCCCAAATGACAGATAAAAATAATATGCAAATGCTGCTACTGGGAATTTAAAAAATGTATGGAAACGCTTTAAGAACTAGCTGAAACTTACAATGCTGGACGTTTGGTTTTGAATAGTGTTAAATTCCTCCAGAGTGACATACTTGGCGCCATAGCTGGAGGTGAAAAGCGACATTTGAGCCACTTTCAAGCACTCACCGACCACATAAGACATAGCCAGATAAGTTTCTGGTACCACGTAGATATTGTACCAAGCAAAAAACGTTTTCTTCTTCAAAAATTCGCTCGGGCTCAGCTCAGTATCGAATTTTCCTGCAAAAAGTATGTTTGTTTGTTTGAACTTTCATATTGCCTTGATGAATACTATAGACTAGGGAAGTCAACGATTTTTCAAATGTGAAGAAATCGTATTCAGTTTCACTTTGAATTCGTTTGAATTCCAGCTCGCCGATGGTTCTCTGATGGTTCAGCAATACCTCGTCTTTAAGCTGAAATTAAAACCGAAATATGCTCGAATAAATCGTCCAAGCACGCAACACCGTAACCAGTCTTGCCTTATGAAAATAGTCCGTGTAAAACATGGCCTTTCCTACTTTGGTGCTTTTAACCAGATCAACGATTCCTTCCAGCATTTCATCAGACATGGTCGGAGTGCCGGTTAAACTCATGCAATCCATCACAAATTCGCATCTATTGAAGCAAGCAAGTGAGACTTGAGTTGAAAAGAAGAAAACTCTAATACCTGATGACTTCTTCACATTTCTTCCGCAATGCAATGGCGGATATGATGCGATTGGCAAAATTCACCGGATCCTCAGCCTTCATCATTAGAAGCAATTTGGGCAGGAAAAACGTTCGTTTCAAGCCATCCAGAGTCATCACCTTCCATAGCTTTTTCTTTGGCTGATAGTCCAGAGCGGCAACATGGACCCAATGGAAGAGCCGATCCAGATCGAAGCTGGAGCGGTTTTCCTCATTGACTTCGCTGTTGGGAACGAAAGCTGTGGCAGGCAAAGGATGCCTGATTCCGTCGATGATTCCATGTTCTATCCAGTTTTCTGGCGACCTGCAGATTTCAAGTTGAAGCCTGTAGATGATTGAGGCCGGTCAAAGGTGCTAAGAGGAAATTTGCCTGATATCGAATTCTTCGTCATCGAAAAGCTCCAGCGGAAGAAACGGCACCCATGAAGACAGCCCGAACCTTTCCATTGGCGAAGCGATTTCTTTGAAGAGAATTTGAATCGGAAGCAAATCTCTAGGCTTCACTTGCATGCGCTCTAAAAGGGTGTCGATGTTTTCGCCCTGGAACTTCGTCTCATCCACCTGTTAGGTTCCAAAAAACTTGGTCCACGTACCTGATACATTCTCCTTCTTCTTTCAATGGCCACATTTCGGGGCAGAGTTCGGGGATCCACCTCATGCTGGTGTTGCACCTTCGGCTTGAAAGTATCCACAGGGAAAGCCTAAGAACGTTATTCGAGTAGCATTTTCGACTTATTTTAAGCATGTAAATTCCTACTATGTCCTTATCGGCCTCAAAAGTCATCCAACGCTGAGCGGCCGCAAGCACAACTTTCTTTTGAGGCGCAACCAGCTCCATGAGAATGGGAGCGTATTTTTCCGTTTTCACTTGCCATATGAAGTTAAACTTTCTATTAACGCCTTGATAGATTTTCGTCAATGGGTCCGAATAGTTCGGATTGGTCAGCAGCTCGGCATAGTAGCCCCGTCCAAACTTTTTCTTCTTACCAATCACCGATGAGTCTTTGCCAAGCGGTTTATTGTTCATTTTTATCGGCAATCTGGCAGGATTTGTCAGATTTACCTGTTCGGTTGGTGCTTTTATTGTGTGGCATGTACACAATAAAACATATTTTCGAAAAGACTCTTTGGTTCTAGCGAGTGCAGCTAATTTCTAAAAGGAGTCCTCAACTCTCAAGAATTTAAAAATGCAATAGACTTAAAAATATTTTGGAAAATTTGTAAGATTTTGCTTCCTAGTGAAAGAGTTTCGAAAACATATTCGAATTTCTTAAATGGTTCAAACAAAATATATTAAAGATTGGCAATTACATTGAGCTCTCCCTCCAAGAGAAACGACAATATCTCTGTCTCTTTTGCCATGAAAGCTGCGGCTTTAGCCACAGAACACCTCTGAACTTTAGTTTTGGCCACAGGTTTCAGCTTTAGCGCTGTCAGTGCCACGGCCTTGTTAACCTCACATTTGCTTTCCTACCGGTTTTGTTTATTGATTGCACAAAGACTAAAAAAATACATGGCGCGAATTTTTCATTAATTTAATAATTGAACAAGCTATAATAAAAAAACATGGGCGTTACAATAGACATCAATGGCATTCCTGTGGATTTCCCATTCAAGCCCTACGACATCCAGAAAGACTACATGAAAAAAGTGATAGAATGCATCCAAAATGAAACTACTGCGGTCTTGGAAAGCCCGACTGGAACTGGCAAGACTTTGTCTCTGTTGTGTAGCTCGCTGGCGTGGCTGCAGCTGAAAAAGGCCCAAATTCAGGTAAATGTTCCAAAGCACGTCGTTTTAAGCAAAAGCTATATTGGGTTGTTATTTGAAGGCTCAACGATTTGCTAACGTAAAGAGCAGTTTCTCGAAAGGCACTGGCAATGCCGAATCCGCAGCTGCCTTAAGCAACTTCCTAGATGTGGACGAAAAGGCCCTTGGCCTGGCAAGTGGAAGAGAGTTTCTGGGCCTTCCCACAATCATCTATGCGTCCAGGTCAGGATCAAGATTTCTCCGATTTAACCATTTCTCGATCTTTTGTCTATTCTATGCCCAGAACCCACTCGCAATTGACGCAAGCAGTTCAAGAACTGAAGCGAACAGCCTACAATCACATGAATTGCTCAGTGCTTGGCTCTAGAGAGCAGCTGTGCATCCACCCAGAAGTGCTGGCTGAACCAGACCGAGCGGCCAAGCTGCATATGTGTCGTATGAAGGTTTCAACGAAATCTTGCCATTACAACAACAAAGTCGACCGAATGAAAGACGATCCTGAAATCTGCAATACACCCATTCTCGATATAGAAGACATGGTTAAATTGGGAAACAAACGCACTTTTTGTCCGTATTACATGACCAAGGAAAAGAAGCAAAACGCTGATATAATTTTTACACCCTACAACTATCTGTTGGATCCAGTTGCAAGGAAATCTTTAGGTATTTATTGAGTCGATGAATACCAATGGGTGCTTCTAATTCATCTCGCAGGTTTAAAGTTATCGAATGCTGTGATCATCCTTGATGAGGGCCATAATGTGGAAAAAGTCTGCGAAGAATCGGCCTCTATTGATGTAAAATCCAGTGACATCGCGCTGGCTATTGATGAAACAACCAACATCATGAAAATGGTATCGGAGACGCCAGCTTTATTCGATGAACTGCCCAGTAGCGGTAAAAATCACTGAAATTTGCTTCACACCCACATTACTTGAGCGTTTCGCAGGAGCTACAATGGATCCGGAACAATTAGCCAACTTGAAGATGATGCTGATCGAATTTGAAAAGGCCCTAGACGAAGTGTCTCTAACTAAAAGTGCTGGAGACGAAATTGCCCATTTTCCAGGCGATTTTATTTTCGAGTTGCTCGAAAAAGCCCAAGTAACCACCTGGCAAAGAATGTTGTCACAACCTGTTAATGTCCTGTGGAATTTTAGATTACATTGGCAAATTTTCAACCAATTTCTGGCCTTATCGACAGCATGATTCAGTACCTGACTGCCCAGAACGATGGTCCTTTTGCCAGAAAGGGCAAAGGATTGCAACTTTTTATGGATTTTCTTACAGTCACATTTAGTTCAAAGGGTAAGGAGTTTTTGCTTTAATCTAAAATCCACTAAACGCGCACAATGACGCCCACTAAAGTCAAGTGAATCGTTACTAGCCACAAAGGACAAGATCAAGCACTGCTATAAAGTGTATGTGAGGGAAGATGAGTCCAATGAAAAAGCTGGAAAACAGAAACTTAACACTTGGCTCAGTAAAGGCTCTATTAGTGGCCGCGGCAGGATTCTAAGCTTCTGGTGTTTTAGTCCGGGGTTCGGGTAAGTGCTGCCGCGAACTTACCTGCAGGTATGTAAAATTCCCGATAATTTTTTTCAGAATGGATTTTATCGTTTCACAGGGCATCAAGTGCCTCATTCTAACCAGCGGCACTTTGGCTCCACTCAAGCCCTTAATTTCCGAACTAGAGCTCAACGTAACAATCAGCTTGGAGAATCCGCATATTGTTACGGAAGATCAGATTTGCGTGAAAGTTTTAACTAAAGGCCCCGATGGTGAATCTCTTAATAGCAGCTTTAGAAACAGGTGTTAAACCCGCAGGATTTCATCGGGTTCTCATTTATAATGCGCAACAATTTTAGGGACAACCCAAAATACGTGTCCTCTCTAGGCAGAGCGATTGTGAACTTGACGCGAATTATCCCTAGTGGGTTGCTTATCTTTTTCCCCTCTTATCCCATTATGCAGAAATGTCAGACTGCATGGGAGGCCGAGGGAATATGGTCGAGCATTCTGGCTCAAAAGGCGATATTCGTGGAACCAAAGGGCAAAGAAGCATTCAGCGCCGCTATGACTGGTTACTACGAAAAAGTTCAAGATCCCAACTTAAAAGGCGCGATATTCATGGCGGTGTGCAGAGGAAAAGTGTCCGAAGGTTTGAACAAATTCAACGAATTCCTCGCTGTTTTTAACATTCCAGAACTTGTTTTGCAGGACTGGACTTTGCCGATGCTAACGGCCGCGCTGTGATTATTACCGGCTTGCCTTATCCACCCTTAAAAGATCCACGGGTTATCCTGAAAAGACGCTACTTGGATGCTTGCCACGCTCAAGACAAAGATGTCAGTAAATAGGCGGAGTTTTTTTTATTTTCTTAAAATTTCATTTTTTTTAGTATTTAACTGGGCAAACTTGGTATTCCCTTGAAGCGTCCCGAGCAGTCAATCAGGCTATTGGTAATCAAAGCTAAATTTTTCAAAAAACTATGTTTAACGCCGATGTGCTTAACAGGTCGGGTAATCCGCCATAGGCACGATTATGGGGCGATTTTACTCCTAGACGAACGGTTCAATGGGCTCCAGGTAAGGAACCAAATGTCCATGTGGCTGCGCAATCACATCAAAGTAGTGAATAAATATGGGGAAGTTATTCGAGACCTCAGTCAGTTTTTCAGAAAAGCCCAAAACGAGGTAAATATTTACTTATATTGTCTCTGAATTCGATGCTGATCTTGCATGGTTTTTAAGTTGCCAGCTCCCGTATCGAAAGCTCTGCTGCCGTCCGCAGCAGCGTTTGAGCTTCCAAAGTCATACAGCAAAAAAGGGTTCTTTGATTTTCCCGGTGGTTCTTCCACATCGACAGATTCTTTGAGTTCGCAGTCAAGTCTGTCGAGCGGGACTGAGGATTTAATACAGAAATACTTGGGTAAAGCTATTAAACAGCACTAGTGAAATGTTGCGAAACTGGGATCAATTTGCAGGATCAAGCGATAATCCGAATGGAACAGTAACAATACACTCAACAAAGAGGGACAACTGCGAAGTGCTGACGAATAAAAACAAAAGAAAAAAAATCAATCTCACTTACCGACCGCACTACTTGGACGCGATGGAACGAACAGACGCTCAACCGGATCATATGTCCGGAATAAGCGAATACGTCCTTATGGTACTTTTGTCCCTATTTATTTACTGGTTAATCTGCTGGTAGAAGGTTCTGAGTTGAACTTTCAGCATCGATCTTTTGCACTTGATTACAGGTAAAGTCGAAGCTGGGCCCGAATTTCGCCACTTTTGCCGAGCATCTGCGACAATATCACACTACTAGGAACATAGCAGCATTCATAGCAAGCGTGGATCCATTAATACCCCACAATCTTCGATACATTCTCAGTGGGTTGGATCCGTTTCTCAAAAATCCCCAACAGTCTGAGTATAGGAACTTTTTAAGACGAAATAATTTGGTTATTCCTGAGGATTTATAGTCGCAAATGGAGAAAATTATGTCTTTGTTTTTTATACCAAGATATCTTTGATGAATAAATTCGTAATTGTTTTTGTGGGTCAAATTCTTTAAGCCCCGCTGCAGAAACTGGTCTGTTCATAGAAGGTCGTTTTCGTTTTGCTCAAGACCGATTTCTTCCGTCGTCTCACTGCTATTGGAGCTTTGCAGTTGGTTCCAAGCGTACGGGACTCCATACTCAATGTCCAAACTCACCAATTCGTCGATCGTGGGGAACAAATCCTGCTGGAACATGATTTTCATTGTGTCTGTCAGGAACATGAGATTCAGCTTGATCAGAGCCTAAAAAAACTCGCTCTTAATCTAGTCTTTCAGCTGAAACTACAACAACCTTCTGACATGGTAGTGGAGTGTTTCCTTTGATATAAATTGTTGGGTTCTTAAAAATACATTCCAAGGGAATTTTCATGTTGATAACGTAAAAGCCAGTCCATTTACTGCCGATGTTGTAAAGGCGGTTTTCGTATGTTTGGTCCGTATTGAAGAAGACTTTGCCATCTTCGGGGGTGAACAGCTCCAAGTCTTGCCACAGATTCAAAATTAATCCTGCATTGCAAACATTGGGATGATTGATTATTCAACAGCTGCACTGCTTATTTACCCACTGCGGGCCCTTCGACGTACAGAACAAATGCATTTCCGTTGTCGATAACGAACCCAGTCAGGATGTCTTCGGGTTTTAAGCCTCCGCATTCAATATTCTGGTTGTGGATGGAAATGTTGCTAAACCAGTCCCTTGCGAGTTCCTTATTAGTCACAATAAGCAGCAGCCCTTTGTAGGTGTTGGGCACTTGATGCAAAACCAGGGCGGCTGATTGGGGGGATAGCAGATAAGCTTCCAGATTAAGCACAGTGTTTTTCTCCAACAAAACCCATTCTTTCAATGGGGATTTGGGCGGAAGGTTCGAAACTAAACCTGCCAGATTTATTTGGTCCACAGCCAGGGAGTCGCTTTCGGTCAGCTCTTGCAAGCCGCTATAAAACATTTAGAGGATTATAAATGCGTAGGAAAGATGGGCAATTCGAGTACGTATGAAAAATCCGACTTTCCCCCGAATGCAGTTGCTCCTTGCCTCTAAAGTCCCAAACGTTCTTCAACAGCGAGCTCAAATCATACGAGCAGTAGGCCAAAAACACGTCCCTTGCTTTCACATTGTCCTCTTCCTATAAGCAGCTTTTTTCATACTGATGCTGATGGTTCCGTTTCCAAATATTCAAGTCGTCCAGATTTTCTCCAAACAGTTTGGGCTGGGGGGTCACATTTTGGTAGCGCTGCTCCCCATAAACTTCCACCACGATCCTGCGGGTCTCTAAGAATTCCAACAGCTTAATTTTTGGCAAATTTTGCATCGGAAATATATGGGATTCCATAAAATGAATGGAATTGTTCAGGGGTTTTTCGATGGTTCTACAGTCTGCTATGCTGGGTATCGAGTATTTGCAGTAGATTTCAGTAAATCCACTGTCCTTCAGATGCTCTTCGGGAAAGTTTTTGATCGAAATCACTTTGATTATAAGGGGGTTTAGGTAGATTTTTTGAAATCTTGTTAGCAAATTTTCAACGTGTGGGATAATGAACGTTTTCCGCAGTTTGCTGATGGGGGTTTCCAGTTTAAATACTGGATCGACGTCGGTAAAGAAAATCTCCCCTTGCATTTGCAGAGTGAATTTTGCGGATTTTTTCTTTTTGTCCTCGGGTTTCTTCGCCTTTGCGCTGTTTTTCTTTGCAGTTTCTTGGGGTTTTATTTCACTGGCTGGATCGCAGGTTTTAACAAAGTTTCTGAATATTATGCGATCACTTGGAATACTTTCGTCGCATGTATAGTCAATCACATCATAAAGCCTATCTGCAATTGCAACAAAATGAGTGAGTCGAGGAAGAAACGCAGTTAAGACAAACCTGCAAAGTTACTGTCGAAAACCATTTTTGAAATAACGTCGGTTTTTTGGGCAGCAACATTTTATTCTGTTGCTGCATTTTCATCCTGCAAGGACCTTTTGGATGGGACCGATTTTTTGGAAATGAATGAGGCATTGCACTTGTCTAAGTACGCATTGATGAATCCCTGCTGGTCCAGATCGGTTTCTCGAATATAGATGGTATCAATTTTGTTGGCTTTAGCGCTAGAAGGCAAAAACCTCCATCAGCAGAGTCCGTTTTACAATCAAGAGATTTTCGAGTTTGTTAATGCAAATAGAGTAAAATTATCAGCTTACGCAGCTCCAAGCTTATTTTTCTCTGTATGAACGTGGAACTCTATAACAGCATTTCGAATTGCCATTAAATCGTCTATCGATAAGTCTTTCAAAGTGTGTTTGATGCAAACAGGAACGAAAGTCAACCCACTTTTAGCCACGGTTTTAAATAGTTTTGTTCCATCTGCAGTGTAGATCTGCAATTGATAAGAATTCTTATTTCTTCAGTTTATTCTGCTGGATTTTACTTTAGCGGCATTTTGCCAGCACAACACATCAATCTGATACGGTTTACATTTGACCGGTAAAAGCTGATACACAATATGGGCGAAAGAGCACGTCTTTTCCAGTCTGAGCACATACGGAGGATCAGGAATCTGCGGCTGAGCCATTTTGGGCTCTTTCGCTTTGCTCTTCTTCTCCTTAGGGTGTTCTTTGGCCTTTAGGGAGAACGCCAGAAGGAATTTAATGGTAAACTCGATCATGGTGTCATCAATTATAAATTTTTTGACGCTCAAATTCAATTTAACAGGTGAGTTTTGGTGTCGATTTGATTTGATGTCAATATTTTTAATTCTAACGCGGAAACGGTTGTTAGTAGCTTTTGTAATTTGTAAGTGAAAACAATCTTCAGGCTCGCTCTAAAGCAGCAACAATGTCCTTTGATTTTTAAATAAATTCCGAATAACGTAACGTAACGTATATATAGATTAGTTTTTTCTTGGCCTTAGGGAAGTTGAGAGTAGGCCGGCTCAATGAGCTTTTTTCAACTTCAATTAAAAATTTTATTTATTTTTAATAATGGATTTTTATTCGCTGGATGAAATGGCGAATGTAAGTGCTAATAAAAACGCAGAAATCTCATTTTTCAAAGAGTTGGAAATAGTTTATTGGCTGCTGTAATCAGTTAATCTATCCAGTTTATAGATGCATTCAAGTTATACAAAAAACTTTTTCTAGACGATTTCCATTGAGGCTCTAACCTAATTGATGTTTAGGTAATTATTTTGACAAGTGGTTGTGAAAACAGCAAAGAAGAGTGAAATGTTTTGGTAAACAAACGTGGAAATCGTAAAAAATCCATCAAATAAGGGCACTTTACAGACCAGGAATTTCAGTTTTGTAGTTGAGTTCAGTTTGAGTTCAGTATTGTAGTTTAGCATTAGGACAGAGATGGATCATCTAGCTCAGGATCTGAGCATCGCTCTGGAAGAATCTGAGTCTTGCGGCCCAATAGTAAGTCAGGCCTCAGGGAAGTTTTCCATGAGACGGCGGACACGATCTGCTGGAAATTTGCCACGTAAGTTCCACGGATCTTTCCTGGCCTAAACTAGTCGAAAATAAACAGGCTCTGTTTGCGTTTGCTTAAGGTTAATCGTTTAGAAAGTTAACTTCAAATAACACTTTAACAGAGTTATTGAACTTGAAGGGTGTGATGTTCGTTCTAATGCACCTAAGGTCAAATGCTGATTAGATATTATGTGTATAAAGCAACACGTTGCAACGCTATATACAAAAAACCAGGCCTAAACTCTTACGCTTTTCTGATTCAACTAGAACTATATACGCATAAATCGGCGGATAACAACTCAGAAGAAAGCTCTAGCAGCCCATCGGAGTTTAAGAGCGATAAGCATCGCTCCAAACTGGCCAGTTTTTATCATTCAGACTCGGACGATTTGTGTTTGAGCGCCGCAGTCGCAAAAGCTCTGGATCACAAGAACTCGCTGCGAATGAGGCACTCTATTCACGGATTATTAAGAGGTAAGAGCTGCTAGATTTAGCGGAGATGATTGAAAACCCTCAAATTTGTTTCAAGGTGTGAGTCACAGTTTGGAATCCGACTCAGTAAATGAACATTCCCCGGCCAGTCGTCCGAGCTTGAGGCGTAAAAGGAAGTTTAAAAGGATAAGTTTCGAGGAGACTCCCATTCCTCCCACTGGCAAGAGGAAGCGATCGCAACGAATGGATTTCGATTACAACGTAAGATCGCTGAGAAGCTCGCTGAAAATTCGACCGTTACACCAAAGCGTGGTGGATAAGATTGATAAGTTTTGCCATCCTGCTGCTGTAGAGGAGGTAAACCAATTCCCTATTTGGATGTCTAGTCACTCATTTTTACGATCATTTCGATTTACGAAATCGACTCAGGACGCCAGGATGGACACTCTGGATGATAATTGCGAGGTGGCTAGCGAGAGCAGCATCAGTTGGAGTGGTGGAGAAGGCCATGAAGGAGATGATGAGTTGACCGATTGGGCGCCCCCTATGGAAAGCACTTCGATGGATCCGGCGCCTTGGCCCGAAGATTCCAGAGAGATCAGAGCAGGTATGAGATAAATGTCCAAGATGATCAAGTTCGTTAATTCTGTGAATGTTTAGGTTGCCGTCGACTACGCGACGAACGACCGGGATTCAGTATATCTACCGGGGCCAACGAAAGAGTCGCCAAATTTCTGCAGGATTCCACCAAATTCGAACTTCGCCTCTTCGGGGCTGAACGTGAAAAGTTGGGGCAGTTAGCCGCTCTTTATTCTTTGGATCTGTGGTTTGAAGCAGCCGGAACCACTTTGCTGCGTAAAACGAGCAAAACCCCCTACATGCAACCAACGCAGCGACGCCATTCGGGCCACAGCTCCCATCATAAGCGGATTCGCACTCAAAAACATGATGGACATTGAATTTATCATAATCACACTGTTAACACTGTAGTATTCGATCCAGCGCACTATTGCAAGTGGATAATTAACATGTACGTTAAATGTAAATAGACCTATAAGAGGACGAAGGCGACTTATAGTATAGTTGAAGAAGTAGCAAGGTGCGAATATCCAATTGGTAGCCGCCCTAAATAAAATTTATTAATAATACACACAAGAAGGCACAAGCCTTCTATTGGGTTTCGGCCACAATTTTTCAAAAAATCGGCTAATTTTTTAATAATGTAAATATTTCTATTGATTTTCGACAATACTTTTTTCCAACTAATTTATAAAAAAAACCAGCCGCATGAGACGATGTTGCCGATTTTCACACTGGTAGTTCTGATGTTGCTTTTGATGAAAGCATAACCAAAGGTGACAAACGCCTTGTTATGGCCTTGTTGACGTGTCTAACCTAACAAAGTGCGAAAAAGATTTGTCCCTTTTTGACCCATATTATCCCGAAAATCCTCGAATCTGTTCAAGTGTCGCCTTAGAAATGTATTACCTTTAGATAGGCATAATCAGGTATCCAGAATTATGGCATTACTATAGCCAATCTAGATTTCGAGGGTTTGGCATTGGACAGGAATTGGTCCCGTGAAAGTAATTTAATAATGCAATGCTTCCCAGAAGACGCCGAACGGGTTCAGAGAGCGAAAATCTTCTGTTAAGTAACGAGAGATCGCGACCCCAAGAGGACCGATTAAGCAGGGTGAATAGTGGGTACCCTAACAATGTTACTGAAGATTATTACTTAGAGGAGGACCATATTGAAGACTTCATCGAACCGGAACCTATCATGAGTGCCCGAGATCGGACTAGTGAGTTTATCAACACCATCCAGACCCTGCAGGTAACATTCGTTAACAGCCGAGTTCCTGCCCTTTGCAGCTGAGAATGTTTGTAGGGAAGAAACATTGCTAGGGCTGTAGCAGTGAAGGACCCCAGAAAGTCCCGGGCTATACAGAGCCATTCGGAGTTCATGCTCATTGCCAAAAACGTCGGCAAAAACCTTGCTAGCACATACGCAAAATTGGAAAAGTTAACTTTGTGTACGTTTTTTCAGTAGTCAGATCGACCGGAAGTAATTTACAGTTTATTTCAGTGGCTAAGCGAAAGTCGTTGTTTGATGATCGCACTGCCGAAATCCAGGAATTGACCTACATAATCAAAGGCGACCTAAACAGTCTAAACCAGCAAATCGCTCAGCTGCAAAATATATCAAAACGGCAGAAACACTCGACAAATGGCAGGCATTTGCAGTCGCATTCCAGCAATATAGTGCTCACTTTGCAGTCCAAACTGGCCACAATGTCGACGGACTTTAAGCAAATACTGGAAGTGAGAACGGAGAATTTGCGGCATCAGAAAAACCGCAGGGATCAGTTCAGTCAAGGGGGGCTTCCGCCGCCTAATAATGCCAGTATTGGGCAATGTAAGTATGCATTTTCTGAGGCTCTTCATAAAAAAGCCCGACTCAAACCCATCATTTTTGTTTTGCATCGATCCATTAGGCCGTTTTTCACTCGATCTTGTAAGAAAAAGCACACAGACATCACTTTGAATTACTTTCATTCCAAACACATATGCCCGATCTCATAACATCCGCCTACCAATTCGTCATCTACTAGACTAACCCCGCCTAAAATTGCTTATTGCTATAACCTGACATAAACAATCAGTGCCCTTATTTATGGTCGCCCCAGTAATTTGCTTATAGAGAACGAATCGATTATCGACAACACTATTTTCTAGCACCCCTATTTTTAAAGTCCTCAATTTACCAACGTCCCATTCATTTTCTAGTTCTAGAAGCAAAAACTTTCGTTCGACATCAGCCATCTAAACAACTACAAGTGTAAAAACGCAAGAATTTAAATATTTGGATAGTGAAACATTTGCGGTAAAACGAACGTAATTTTGCTTTTCCAGCAAGTCTTCTATTCCAAGAACAGGACCATGTGAGTGTTGGCATGGAAAACCAACCGTTAATTCCGCAGCAGTCCCAATCTCAAATGCAAGTGGCCTTAATGTATGACCAAACCGATAATTATTTGCAAAGTCGTGCGGAAACCATGCAAAACATCGAGTCCACCATTGTGGAATTGGGTGGTATTTTCCAGCAACTAGCTCATATGGTAAAAGAGCAGGAGGAAATGGTAAAGCGCTTTAGAATTCACGCGTGCATGTAATTTTTGCGCTAATGTGACTTTTTCCTAGGTGGAAAGAATTGATACAAACGTGCAGGATGCGGAACTCAACATTGAGGCGGCTCACTCCCAAATTTTAAAATATTTCAAATCGGTTTCCTCAAACAGGTGGCTGATGATCAAAGTTTTCGGTGTCCTTATATTTTTCTTTATATTCTTCATTGTGTTTTTAGCCTAGGGATTAATTAAAATTCAGTTTCGAGCCACTTTTCTCATTTGCGCTTTTCACCCGAAACGCTGTGATAAGAGAGATTCTTCATATGTACATACTTACGCTATTTGAAACAAATATACATACCTGCACTACTTGCGAAGGAGCTGTTGATTGACTTCTAAAACTCACGAAATCGACAAAATAATTTCACCCCTATTCCGTATGAAAATTGATACAGCTAGATGGTACTTTCAAAATTATTTTAATTCCTTTAAATCATAACATAGAGAAATGTTCTAATGTTAGGTATACTGAAAGGTAAAAAGTCTATTTAATCTTACAGAAAATAACCGCTAAAGACAAATGAATCAATCTCATCCGTTTGATTAGTATAAACAGACGAAATAGATACATTCTCCCTAATGGGAGAAGTTTGTTCTATGGTTTTATCCACATAGCAATTTTTCCGGCACATCGAGATAAATGAGAATTGTAGTTTCCAATAAAAAAATAAAACAAAGAACAGTTGCATGTTGATTCAAATATGGCCAGTTCGACAAGTAGCCGCAGTAATATGTCATAGATATTCCATGACTAGAACAAAATGATTTAGTTGATCCAACGAGCAATACATCAACAATCATGAACAGAAAAAAATGCGTTGAGCATACAACCCCGGAAAAAGTCAAACTGGTCAGCAGATCAGCGTTAAAGTAAACACTTTTAACGTTCTGATCTGCTAAAACAGCCAAATGTCAAGTATATCCAAGAAATCTATTGCCTGCTGGTATGGGACCGTCCGTGCTGTGGCATTCCATTGTTTCTAGAATGTTGCTGATTCGGCCTATTAGAAGATCTATTACTATATCCATTGTTATTGTAGAAAGACTGAGGCTGGTTGTTGCTGTGGGGCGCAGCACCTCGATTCTGGACTCTGCCCAAAGAATGCTTGTCCAACTCTTCCGTGAGAGGTTTGTTCAAGTTAATTTCGTCGTTAGAGATTCCTGGCCCAGTCATTTGCACTACAGCAGGGTCGTTGCCAGTTCCCTGGTGGCTTACTGGCGGCAGTTGACCGGGGGAAATTTGGGGCGGCTGGAATTGAACAGGCATGGGGATCGGGGGGGGCGGTTGCACCACAAACGATTGGTTTGTGAAAGTTTGGGTGGGAATTTGGTCGGGAGTGTCAATTTCCGATTCCTAAAAATTTCCGGCATTAAGTAAACGATTCTGGAGAGAAATTGTCATTGAACACTCACCTGCAGGAAAAAGAAATTTCCAGAACCCAACATTTCAGCGATGGGCCTTGGCGGCGGCGGCTGCTGCTGCGGAAGCGGCGGTTGTTGGTAGAACAGATCTTGAGATGGCGGCAATTGGTGAGGCTGTACCGCATTACCAGGATCGATCAAATGAGGCTGAGGTTGCACTGCAGGGACCTGATGAGGGATAATGGGAACAATTGGCTGATCCGTGGGAATTGGCGGAACCCTAGTGGGTGTGGATCCATGAATAGCGGGATGGTTAGAAGCTTCGATAGTCAGAGTCTCAATCGGGGCTGGAAGAAGTGAAAAACGCATATTAATAAGAATGCCCCAGGACGATCAGTGACCTAAACAGCCGACTTACAACTACCTGCAAGCGGGACATCAAGGATGACTTCGTTCTGGTTTTCAATTTGATCCTCAGGTAATGTCTCGTTAGATACTTCTGCAGCTTCCAATTCCTGAAAAAAACATGTAAACTTTAAGTATATAGAGTTAGTGCAACCAACTAACCGGCTGGAAGCTTCCTTGGGCTTGGTCGAAGTATCCACTCTCATGAATTTTGCCTAGAACTTCTTTAATTTGACTGTAAGTTCCTCCAAATGCATCCTTCGGTTTCCCATCGACCACAGCCGACAAATGTTCCGCAGCAGCCTGCACTTCGTTCGTAAATGATGTCGGATTTCCAGCTTCATGCTTGGGGGTAACAGCAGGATACATCTCATCCAGCAACTTCAGGTCCACTTCTGTTAATTGAGTAGCGCCGTTTCGTCCATGCAAAAAATCATCCCGGACTCGATCGATTCCCATCTGATGCAAAGCGTCTTGGACGAGAAGAATCTCCCTTAATCGGGCCAATTCAGCCTGACTTTTTAACGAAGCATCTCGCTTTGCCTGCTTCTTAGCATCCTTCTCGGTAGTTGATGCAATTCCTTCAAAAAAAAAAAATTGTCAGCTGCTAGATTTGTTTATAGTTGACAATGGTTTACCTAGGAACTGTTTACATAAATCCCGTGCAAAATCCAAAGTCATTACCACCTCATTGATTTTTTCCAACGCAGTCTTCTGATCAGAGTTTAATTCCTTTCCAGCATTCTGCAGATCTCGATACGACTCTAATTTGGCCTGAAAAAATTGGGAATTGTTAAAGTTTAAATGTGGTGGTTTTATGCTCATTCACAAAACAGTATTATATTCACATTTATATCATGGATTCAGTATTGGTCCGTTATCAATATATGTACTGTTTTTTCATGTCTATCAGGTTTTATATGGCGTAAGCGTTTGCATTGATAACGGAATTTGGATCGGTGTGAAAATAAAACGCCGAATAGAAACATTGAAATCCTTTAAAGGCTGTTACGGTGGAATGCCGATGGACACTGCAAAAATAGCAGTGCTACCAGAGGTGCTACTCGCAGAATGCGCACATCCATCCCAGATAGATAGATAGAAAAGCTGCATGTTTGCGACCTGTTTTCAGCTATAAGTATCCTAAAGTTAGGCCTTAAGTAACATTCGACTTACTTTCCGTTTCTCTAGATTTCTAATTTTATGTTCAATGACCGTAATTGCTTGCCTAAGTGGTGTGGTAGCCCCATTTCCATTATCGGGCAGAGCATTTTCCGCCGAAGAAGCGGGCTTATCAATCTTCACGTTGGCTGCCGAAGGCATTTTAGCTGCTTGTAGCGCTATTACTGACTTGTATCTAAGCTCGTCGCGGTAATCAAACGTTCCGCAACAATTTACAAGCCCCTTTTCGCTCAACAGATGTAAAATCCACTACCAAATGGATGCTAACCGAAAACTTCTAAACTCCATTAAAAAGCCGATAGCCGACAAGGTGACAGCACCGGAAACCGCCATTGATCCGTTCTCATTGGCCTGCAGCAGCCCTAACAAATGGCGCTAAATTCAAATTGCACTACCTATCCGCTATTAAACATTGTTAAAAACTTGATGTCAATAAACCCATATCGAACTGTTTTGGACAAACTACCAACATTTTTTAAATACAAAAAAATTAAAATTAATAGCGGCAATTAGGTGAAATCGCAGCCCATTAGCACGGTCGCCAATTGCGACAGCAACTTGTCATATTCTATTTAGAAGATGAAGCAGTCAAAAATTGATGACAAGACCCAATATAACCGCTTCCAGCTTTCAAGTTTCGGTGTCTCGCAAAATTTTCGTCAACCAAAGGTAATTTCCAGCCATCAAACCTTTCCCAATATTGTGCAATAGTAACCCGAACGTTCGGAAGTTTCATCGGCCAGTGCGTGTTACTATAAGACAAGAAAATGTCCCAGTTGGATCCGAATGAACCAGTGGGGGCTAATTCAGCTGGTTACTTTCAAAGAGGCAGCTTTTCCAGCGACGGGAGACATTTAAGCAGAGGGGCAATAAAGAAAAAGTTCAACAGATATAACCAGGCACTTCCAGGCCCCGCAAAGCAACTCAAGCCCGAAATAAATGGCTCTTCTGCTCAACTGAATGCCACTGCACCGGAGTTCGTCCCTTCGGGCAGCGCTACGAAAAGGGACTTTCAGGAGAGATCCTGGAGAGATCGCAGCAAGTCGCGAAACTGGCGCAACTCGGATATGCAGTCTATGGGTGATAGGGCGAGACATTCCGGAAGCAATTCCTTTAACCCAGAACCCAATGAGTATAGGGAATATAACAACTGGAATGGCAGGGAAAACAGTGCAGAGTTCGGCAACAATCCATCCTCGTATAGATACGACAGGCCAGGGCCGAGTGCCACGGGGTTTCAAAGCAAAAAAACCCCAACCAATTATAGAACTGGCTACGTTAACAACGGCTACCATCGGCCTAATAGGTTCCAGGGAAGTTTTAGCAACAATCACAGCGCAGATGGTGGCTTTGAAAAAAGAAAATTTCCAGACAGGAAAAACAGTGGGAAATCCAGTAAACTATATCCAACCACAGCTGGGCAAAGAGAGCGACTAACTGAGATGATCGTTAACAACCTGCTCGAGTGCCTGGTTTGCTGTGAGAAAATCAAGAGATCAGACGGAGTCTGGTCCTGTTCCCAATGCTACCACATCATTCACTTGACCTGCACGGTTGCATGGGCCAAGTCTTCAAAGGTTGAGGAAAACTGGCGCTGTCCAGCTTGCCAAAACTCGTACGCCGAAGTGCCGCACCAATACACTTGCTACTGTGGAAAATGCGTCCAACCAAGGGCAAACCCCACTGTGCTGGACCACGGTTGCGGGAGTATGTGCTTGAGAATAGGCAAAAGCTGCGCACACAAGTGCAATATTGTATGCCATCCAGGTCCGTGTCCTGAATGCAGTATCATGGTGTCGAAGTCTTGTGGATGCGGTGCTACTCAGCAGATGGTCAAATGCTGCAGCAATTTGGAGATTATTTGCGACGCCACATGCAACAAGCTTTTGAACTGTGGATTGCATAGATGCGAGGCAACGTGCCATGCTGGGGCTTGCCAGCCTTGCGCTGAGATGATTGTCCAAGAGTGTTACTGCGGGGTAACTGGCCGGAAGGTGGCGTGTGATGAAGCGCATGTTGGGCAGACAAGGTTCAGTTGCCAGAATACTTGTGGCAAGTTGTTGCCTTGCGGCAATCATTACTGCCCGGCTAGTTGCCATTCTGGGCCTTGCGGCCTCTGTCCCACCGATGTGGATCTCATCAAGTTCTGCCACTGTGGGAAGACTGAGCTGCAGACTGCGAGGCTCTCCTGCCTGGACTCTATACCTTGCTGTGCCAACACCTGCGGGAAAAGGTTCATTTGCGGCCCTCCCAGCAAGCCGCACACTTGCGTGGAAAAGTGCCATGAAGGAGAATGCGCGCCTTGTCCCTTAACAACTGTGCTGAAGTGCCGATGCGGACATATGGACAAAGAAGTGGCCTGCCAGAAGCTAACAACCAAGGCAGACGACGCGAGGTGCGAGAAGAAATGCACGAAAAAGCGTCTATGTGGCAAGCACACTTGCAAGCAAAAGTGCTGCATCGAGTTTGAGCACATTTGCCGCCTGCCTTGCAACAAGCTGCTGACTTGCGGGCTGCACAAGTGTGAACTCACATGCCATTCTGGCCGATGTCCGGCCTGCATGGAAACCAGCTTCGATGAGCTTTACTGCGAATGCGGAGCCAGCGTTCTCTTTCCGCCAATTCGATGCGGAACCAAACTTCCAGCCTGCAAGAAGCAATGCTCCAAACCGCGTGCTTGCGGCCACGATCCGAACCACGAATGCCATCCAGGGCCCTGCCCACCATGCTTCGTTCTCACCAAGCAATGGTGTTACGGACACCATGAGCAGCGTGCAGTCATTCCCTGTCACCAAAGCAGCTTCGGCTGCGGCTTGCCATGCGGTAAGCAGATGCCTTGTGGCCGACACAGATGCACCAAGGCATGCCATGAAGGCGATTGTCCTTTGCCATGCTCGCAACCGTGTTCAGCGCCAAGGACGCTGTGTGGACACCCATGCAGCAAGCCGTGCCACGACTCACCGTGCCCGGAAAGTAACTGCTGGCAAATGGTTCCAGTGACTTGCTTGTGCGGCCTGCAAAAAGCCAGCAAGAGCTGCATGGAGTTAACTGAAGAGTTCCGCCGAATTGAAATGGCTCAGCTGAAGGACAGGCTGAGCCACATGATGAGCAACGCCAGCGTGGACTTGCAGGAGGCATCAGTGAGGAGACCCGCCATTCTAAAAGTGTTGGAATGCAATGAAGAATGCAGAGTATTGGATCGGAATCGGCGTCTAGCTATTGGGCTGCAGATCCTAAACCCCGACCTCAGCCAGAAGCTCACACCCAGATATTCGGACTTTCTGCGCCAATGGGGGAAGAAGGACGGGCACTTCTGCCAGAAGGTCCACGATAAGTTGACCGAGCTGGTTCAGTTGGCAAAGCAGAGCAAGCAGAAGAGCCGCTCGTATTCCTTTGAGTCGATGAATCGGGACAAGCGGAAGTTTATCCACGAATACTGCGAGCACTTTGGGGTTGAAAGCGCTGCTTACGACGCCGAACCCAACAGGAACGTGGTAGCCACTGCGGTTAAGGACAAATCGTGGCTGCCCAGCTTGAGCTTGCTGGAATCGGTGCGAAGAGAAAACGGGCACAGGAAGATTCCCCTTCCGACACTAGGCCACAGTCCTAATCCTGAAAACGAAATTGTGTCCTTGAAACTACTCACTAGCACTAAAAAGGACTAAACTCTACCACTGCAGAGTGAGTGGAGGGGAAAACGAAGAATGTTTCCACTGAGTCAAGGACGCCAGGCGAAGTTCAGGTCCAACTCAGAAAGCCGAAATGTTCATTTTTCAAATAAAAGACGTTTGTTTTACTGCCGCAAAATTCAGCAGCATTAATTTTTTTAGTTTTACATTCAAAGTGGATGGCATGAGTGACTTCTGAAGTGCGCAAATCTTTTTAGTTCATTTTCAATTAGATGGGAATTAAACGTTTTTTTTTTGGCTGACCCCAAACATGTATTTAAGTCCAATCTAGCAATAAGTGTCTTGATGAAGGTATCAAAATACCGTCATCAAATATACATTATACATTTATATATTATAAATAAATCTTTTTTCTAAACTAGTTTTCAATGAAAAGCACAATCATTTTTTAGCTGCTGGTACTGCGAACATCGGCCCATGCCCTGGAATGATGAAGTCGGCGATTCTCAGGATTCTTTCCCTGTTTTTCTGCTGCAAATCCTCATCATCGCTGCCAGCCGACTTCCAAATCGTGTCATCATCAAGGTCTTGTTCCTTCTCGAACAGATCCCCAGCTACCGCATAAACTTTGCCTCCGATATTGGCCAGAACTGTGACATCTTGCAACGTATGCCCTGGTGTGGCCACCACCTTAATTCCTTCAGCGATCTGATATTCTTCTCCGGAACTCAAGTCCGGGGTGAGAAAGTACTTGGAGCCCTTTGATATGCTGTATCCCACAATGTGAATTGCATTCGAGAACAGATAGTTGCCTCCAATGTGATCAGAATGACCGTGAGTGCAGACTACGTAGTCGATTTCTTCCGGTCGAAGTCCACTGGCCCTCAAGGCTTCCACGATTCGGGCCCCATCCCAAGCAGTCATCGTATCCACGATGCAATTTACGGGGCCCTTGATTAAGGTGCAAGTGCAGTTTGCTTCCATGTAATCGTCTTTAATTGTGGAGAATCCTGGAAAAAGCACTTTGATTTGAAAGGCTTTGCAGTGGGAAATTGAACTCATTGTTCTTATATAGGATTTGGGGTAAACAAAAAAAAATGGTGTGCCTCACGGGACGCTCGACAGAAGTGATAACTTCATAAATTAATAGAAGCCATAAAATATTGAACTTGTTTAACGCATGATGGCAATAATAATTTTATTATTATCCTTGGTTGAATAATTTATAAATGGATCACGAATAGGTAAAATTTAATTTAATTTCCTTTTGAATGTAAAATATATTTTTTATTTGCAACATTTAACATTCTTTAACGAGATGTTGTACATATTGCTCTTCTTGGGTTTGTGTGAACTCTTCTTCTTGAGTTTTTGTATTTTGTGTCGTAATTTCTTATTTGCTTTGTATAATCTTTGACGTTCAGCACTAGTTCGTGGTTGATGAAAGCCACTTTGAGTTGATCTGTTACTTAATGCTCCTTTTTTAGCACGAAATCGTTTTTGGCGTTCAGAATTACTTAATACTTTTCGCATTATAACGTGTTTTTGTGACTGCTCTTGTGTGTGTTGCACAGAACACCTCTCAGGTAAAACGAGGAAGAGCTATAGAGACAAGATACACTTGACACACTATATGTATACTGATGTATACATAATGAAAGACATCGCGCGTACGTTCAAAAAATATATTCTAACTGAACTAATCCAAGGCTAAAAAAATGAAACTAAATTGAGAAGATTTAATCATAAAGGAATCAAAGGGTATATGAAGGGAAAAAATCCATTTTGATGCGTGGTAAACACAATTAATCATAGAAATAATATAGAGAATTGAAAATAAGCCCTAACAAATTCGTTTTAAATATTTTGCAACTATAAGCTGAAGGGAGATTCGTATCGTTTGAACATCAAGAATGCGTTGCGGGATAGAAAATAAGAAGACGGAATCCATGTTTTCTGAAATAACCGGGGTAAACTCAAATATTTTTTCAATTAAATTCAAAACATATTTATTATATATTATTACAAAACAGTAATGATGTTTATCATTTTATGTTAAATATGAAA